TCTTTGTAAGGTTTCAGGGAGCCTCTAGCTGCAGGATTCCCAGAAGATGTGTGACGTGTGCGGTCTGGCTCTAGTGTATCATTCCCCGACCCCCGCCCCCATCTCCTACCATTGACTATACATTCCCTCCAGCCTCTGGCTCCTACAGTCCCCTTACCAACAAGCCGCCTTCTGGTGGTGGGGTGGGGGTGGTGCAGGGTGCAGGGTGCCAGCAAGGTGGCTCTAGCCCAGCCATCTTAAGCAGTGTCCACTTCACCTGCTGTAAACTCACGAATCCTTGCAACACCCAATGATAGGAGTGCAGGCTGCACCTCTGCCATTCCCTCTCTCCTCCCCCAAACTCGTCTTCACTTCCCTTTCCTCAGTGAAGTAGGCACAGGGCAGATCAGCCATGCCCTCCCCTCCGTGCAGGCACCCTCAATCTTTCTGAATCATTTTGTTAGCACTCCCATCTCCTGGTTTGGAGAGAGGGTAAGAGCACCTTCCCTGCCATGGAAGGGGTGCCCTCTCCCTGTGAACCTCAGTCTCACCAGGCTGCCACCCTTGACCTGAGGTGCCTCTCCCTCCTCCCCAGCCTCCTGCTCGTATGGACTGGAGTGAAGTGGGGGAATTGGTTGTCTTTGTGCCAATGCCTACTAAGCCCTGGAGGTGCAAATATCACACTCCAGTTGTGCAAACTCTCTTCAGGATGTGGGGTACTTAGCACCTTCATCTTTGGCAATGGGCCTAGTGCCATTTCTAGAGCAACAAGCAAGTGCCGTTCATTAGCCTGAACACAGTTATTTCACTGAAGTGCACCAGCCACAAGCCACACTTCTCTGCCCTGTGGCAAACATTCTTTTTGGCAAAGGAGTCCAAAGTCATCCTGGGTGGCTTTTTAGTGATAGAAAATATTCTTTTTTATTTCTTTTTAAATTTTTCCATGAAAGTGACTTCTGTTGGGGTGAGGTGACTTTTCCAATTAAAATGTCTTCTTGTGGATTCATTCAATAACTATTCGGAGGGAATCTACTAAGTGCTAGGCACACTGCCACACGGGGATATAATTGTGAGCCAGAACAGACAAGCTGCTTCTCCTTGGGGAACTTACAGTGCAGTGGGTGAGAATAATAAAAGAAGCATACAAACGTGTAAAATTCCACCTAAATAAACACTCGGAAGAAAAGGATATAATTGGGAGGATCAGGGAGGTCAGGAAAGGCCTTCTTAGGTAATTGAGGTATCGGTTTCCCCTTTATATTAGTTAGATTCTAATGATGTAGAAAGGAATAAATTGTGGGCCTAAACACTGAGTCAAGGCCTCATTCTTTACACTCAGTTTTAAAACAGAATTCATCCTCTTCATCTGTGCCAATATTCCTGTTAACATACCCTCTTAATCTTTATCTCAGGGAACAGCACCATTCCTTTCCACATCCTTCTATCCCCTTCCCCCATACAGCATCCCATTCTGTACTCAGACCCTCCATAGCCACCCCCCACCACATCCACACACACACTCCTCATCCTTCTCATCTCCCCACTAATGCTTCTTTTTCCTGATCCCAATCAGTTATTATGGGGAAAATATTAGGTAGTGAATGACCATCACCTTTTGCATTTTTTCACCATTTGCATCTTAAGAGGATATGTAATATTGACACTCAGAAAGTGTGAATACGTGAAATGGTGAGTTGTAGATCGCAGATGAGAGCAGACTGAATATTAGGAGCTTTCAGGACCTCTTATATTTTATAGGTGGCTGGCCTTGGTAGATGGTTGATAGTTGACGTCAAAATTGGGGAACACGGGTTTTGGAACAAATAATACCATACTGTTTGAGAATATCTATGAAATTCAGAAAAGACAGTTAAAACAGAATTTCTAGAAAGTTCTTCTTTTCAATGAGAATTTATTCCTAAAACATAAAACTCAAGGCAAACATCACAGTAAGATTGCCTGTGATTACTTCAGATACAAATCCAGATCAGATTACATCATTGCTTAATTATAATATAAGGAGCCTGGGCTTTTCAAGGCTCTAAATAAAGTCTGGGTAGCAACTTGGTAAAAAAACAGGCACATGATACGTTACTAATCTTCCTCTGAGAGTTAAGAAAACACACACCCTAAGAGGTCATACAGTAAGAACTTTTTAAAATTGTTTATACCATATTAGGAAAAAAGCTTACACTATGATTAACTAACATGTTTTTTCGTTTGATTTGGTAACCATCATCTTGGTTTGGGAAAACATGAAACAATTTAAGTCAATTGTAAGTTATTTGATTTCCATGTTGCAGCTACAGAAGGATAATTTTTTTTCAGTATTAAATTATCGTTCTTCAAAATCACCTAATCTATATTATAAAAATTCCCTTAAGAAATATTTGTTGGTATACCAAAAAAAAAATTTTAAACATCTCACTTGTTTCTATTTGTTAGCACAATATAGTATTATATTTTATTGGCAGAAAATTTTTAATGAGTTATTAGAGGCTTTTAGTATAATTTGACATGAGGGAAGTTTTTAGATACTTTCATTTAGAGGTACTAGAATAAAGAAGTCGTTATTTATTGAGCATTCACTATGTGCCAAGCAGTGTTCTAGACACTAAGTGTATGATCTCCTTTAATTAGCACAAACGTTGTACCAGACTAACTGAAGAAATAGTCTATTGTTAATACTACTGTTAATAATAATGATAGTCTTTCTGTCTCTTTATGGTTTACAAAGAAATTTTATTGTAATTTTATCGTGTTTACATATTCATAGTTTAAAAAACTAAATAGTACCACAAAGTTTATTACGAAAAGCAGTAATCGAATAGCTTTATGTGCTTCCATTCTAATTCTCGTTTCCAAAAGACCAATTTTCAATCCTTTTCTCTGTTTCTTTTAGTATTTATAGCCATATTTCTCTACTTGTTAATACTGCTGTTTTTAAATTTTTTTAGTTTTACATATCTATCAATTATCTGTCAACTTCCTATTATGGTTCTCTTACACACTAACTGCCCCTCACACCCACATCCACACGTATACACTTATATATCTTCTCCTTCCTCATAATATATTCTTGTCTCTTCTTTTGATTAGATCAATAGTCAGTATTTACATTGCTATGACCATGAAACCTTCTTCATTGTTGAGCCGTGTAGTATAGTATGCTTGTATTTCCTTTCTTGTACAACTTTTTGTTCTCCTGGTATTTGTTTTGTCATTTGTTTAGTTTTCTATGTATCTTATATTAATTTACCCTAAACTCTCTCCTAGAAATGTAAATCTCTCAACATATTTTTCAAACATGTCATGTATTCTATCAGTCTCATGTCTGTTGGGACAGCCATTCTTACTTGCTGCTCTCCCGATCCTACACAGCTGCTGGCCTGGGACTCTCCTTTACCTCTCACCTGTGCTGGATCCCCCATTTCCTGAATCCCGTGTATTCTTCTTTCTTTGTTTACTCTTTCATTTCAATAAAGTATCTTCTCCAGTAGCTTCCTGAACAAGTGTGTATAGAAGATAATTTTTTGAGATCTTGCATGTCTGAAATGTTTTGATTCTACCCTCACACTTATTAGATAGTTTGGCTAGGTGAAGAATTCTGAGTCAGAAATCATTTACCTTCAGAAGTTTGAAGGTCCTGCTCCATAGTTGTCTGACTTCCTGTGTTACTGCTGAGAAGCCTGAGGCAATCTCATCCCTGATCCTTTCTATGTGACATTTTTCTTTCTGAAAGCCTTTAAGATCTCTCTGTCTTGAGCGTTCTGAAATTTCATGATGATGGACTTTGATTTAGGTCTTTTCTCATCAATTATGCTGGGAACATGGTAGATCTTTTCAATTTGTAATGTCAGGTCCTTCCATTCCGGAAATTTTTCTTGAGTTATTTCTTTGGTGATTTCTTCACCTCTAGTCTCTTTCTCTAGTCTTTCTGGAACACTTGTTTTATGGATGCTGGATTGAACCTGCATGGATCCTCTGATTTTCTTATCTGTTCCCTCCCATTTTATATCTCTTTCCATTTTTATTCTACTTTCTGGGACATTTCCTCAACTTTATCTTTCAATCCTTCTATTGAGATTTTTATTTTCCACTATTATATTTTAAGTTTCCAAGAGTTCTTTTTTGTTCTTATCATTTCCCTCTTTTCACTCATCTATTCTTATTTCATGGATGTGTTATTTTTTTCTTATCTCTCTGTAGATTTTATTGAGGTTTTTTTTTTGTTTGTTTAACTTTTTCTTCTCCCTCTGTTTCTATTTTCTCTAAATTCTAGCTTACATTTGGATTTTGTCTCTGATGTTGGAGGGTTTACTGAAATGTATGGGAATCCTTGACTATTCACTCATATGGAAGAGTGAGCATTCAAACCTGACTTGAAGCTCTGTGTGCACAGGCAGGACTTGTCAATTGGTGGGCTTCACTATAGACTGATCTAACTGAGGGGATTTTTGGAGAGACCCCCAATTATCAGTATCTTCAAGGCCTTTTCTTTTGGGCTTCTTAGATTTCCAGAGAAAATGTGTCCAGTATTCTACCTGGAGGCTCTGAGCCTGTTTGCTACTGACCTTGGAGCTGAGTGGATCTAGGGTTTCTCCCTTCAGTATGTAGACTTGCACTTGCTACTCTTGTTTTCAGTGTGGCTCCCTTGCTCTCAGCTGGCCCGGTACTCTCTCCGGCTCACTTTTATTCAGAAAGTAAACAAAGTTTCTGCTCCAGTGGGAGAGGGGCAGTTGACCAGCTATGCATGGTGGTAGGCAGCGGGGTGAGGGATGGGGGCAGGCGGAAATAGCAAAGGAGATCTGGAGTCTCTAACTGCTTCTTATACAAACTTCCAACCCATCTTCCTCTTTCACTCTTCTTTTTCAGAGATTCCTGGTGTTTTAAATTTTAGGTTTTATTATTATTCTTATATGGTGAAGCCAACAGATTAGGAGATGACTGCCATTGAAAAGATAGTTTGTTATTCACAGTTCCTGAGAGGAGGAGGCATGCCACCCAACACTGAACCACAGGGACAGCACCAGGGTTGGTCAGAAGGCAGAGTGAGTGAGGGGGAAATGTGGGCAAGAGCCTTTATTGTGGTATTCATGGGAGGAAAGGGAGAAGCAAGGTGAGCAGGCTCCGGATTGGCTAGTTTGAATAATTTCAGCAGGCTCTGCGGCATAGGGGCTGCCCCTAGGTTCCTGGTACTTGGCCCTGGGATGATTAGGGCAGTGGAATTTTGGCCCAGAATGTAAGAGCCTAATAGAAGAGGGGGAGTGGTGTAGGCTCACGTGGTTGGTTCGCACATGAGTCTTTATTATCTCTAGGAATTGGCTAGCCATAGGAAGTGTGGTTTCCCCACCATCAGTAAAACCCCAGATATCAAAACATCAGAATAAAAAAGTATGCTTAATAGACTTGGTACTGCCAATGTCTGAGCCTCTGTGAGGGAGGTCTGTGATGCAAGGTAGCTCACTTCTGAGACTCCCCCACTGCCTGTTTATGGTTCTGCTTTCTTTGATAGAATATGGTTATGGTTATGACAGGTGAGGACTTACCACCCATCCGTCTACTCTCCAGCTTCCAAAATCTTTAGCTGTTGTCCTCACCCTCTTTCTCCTTGGATATGAGACATTCATGCCTTTTAAAAATCCTTTAAGGTCATTTTAGCAGGATTTGGAGAGGTAGCAAAGGTGGATGCTTGTGTTCAATCCACCATCTTTAACAGGTTGTCATAAAGTAAGTGCAAAAGCTTTTTCTTCTTTGAAGGAATGGGAATATTTAACCACCCCATTCCACCCCATCTCACTTCTGCCCCACACAGGATATACAAAATGCCATATAACCTATCTTAAAATATTTGAAGGGCTACCATATGGAAGAAAGAGTAAACTTATCCTGAGCTCCTTCAGAGACCATATCTAGGAACAATGAGTAGAAATTTTAGAGAGAGATTTTTCAGCTTAATAAAAGAAAAAATATTATGACAGTCTAAAAATTCCTGCTGCCTCATGAAATAAAGAACTTTCCAACATAGAACACATGTATTCACTCACAAACCCCTATCAAGTGCCCACTAAGACCAACACAGTTTCCTCCCTGATCCCAAGCTGCTCACGGTCTAATGGAGTAGATGGAAATGTCTGAGCCTAAAGATTCCTGATCAGTTAGGTCTTCCTTTATACTTACCATACAATTTATACTTCTCTTTTGGAGCACATACAATTACTTGCTTAATGTCTGTCTTCTCTTTAGTCTCTGAGCTCCATAAGGGCAAGAACTGTGTCTTTATTGATCACCACTTTGCCACTTAGACTTAGCGTGGTGACTGATACTTTGTAGGTGCTCTGAAGCAAACCGAAATTTACATAGCTGATTAAGAAGTAGTATGATTTAAATATAATATGGCATGGGCCGGCCCCATGGCTTAGCGGTTAAGTGCTCGCTCTCCGCTACTGGCGGCCCAGGTTCGGATCCCAGGCGCACACCGATGCACCACTTCTCCGGCCATGCTGAGGCCGCGTCCCACATACAGCAACTAGAAGGATGTACAACTATGACATACAACTATCTACTGGGGCTTTGGGGGAAAAAAAAAAAAGGAGGAAGATTGGCAATAGGTGTTAGCTCAGAGCCGGTCTTCCTCAGCAAAAAGAGGAGGATTAGCACGGATGTTAGCTCAGGGCTGATCTTCCTCACAAAAAAATAATAAATAAATAAATAAATAAATAAATAAATAAATAAATAAATATAATATGGCACTAGAAGAGAATTCTAGCAAAAATAGAATTAAGTGAAGACACTTAATTCAGCCTGAGATGATAAGGGAGGACTTTCTCAGGGTGGTAGCATTTAAATGAATTCTTAAAGAACATAAAAGTTAGTAAGGCAAGAAAGGAGGGGAAGAGAATTCTAGGAGAGGAAATGGCATGATCAAAGTCACAGAGACATTAAATAACAAGATACATTCTGGGAACTACCACTTACTCAATATAGCAAGAAAACAGGGAATACACTGAGGGATATGGAGAGAGAGAAGACTAGAGAGAAAGACAAGGGCAAGGTCATTCTAAAGAGTTTGACAATAATATGGCAATGAAGAGTTATTCAAGGCTGTTAAGCAGAAAAAGTCTTACAATTTAGAAAGATCATTCTGGAAGCAATGTGTAGGGTGGATGAGAGGTGGAGGCTAGAGGCAAGGAGACCAGCTGGGAATGTGGAAGGTAGAACAAAACACTAGACCATGAACACAGTTCAGTCAAGTTCTTGCCACTTTATAACAAGGATTGCCTTTCCTCCAGTTTCCAATAACATTCTTCATGTCTATCTGAGACCTCACCAGAATGGCCTTTACTGTCCATATTTCTACCAACATTCTGTTCCTGACCATTTAGATATTCTCTAAGAAGATGGAGGCTTTCTCTACAGCACTCTTCTTCCTGAGCTCTCACCAGAATCACCCTTAACAGTCTACTCACAGCAATGTAGAGTGAGTAGCATGCACCTCACGATTCTTCCAGCCTCTACTCATTACCCATTTCCAAAGGCACTTCCACATTTTTGCGTATTTGTTACAGCAGCACCCCAATTCTCGGTACCAATTTTCTATCATAGTCCCTTCCAGCTGCCATAACAAAACACTATAGAATGGATGGCTTTAAACAACAGAAATTTACTTCTCACAGTTCTGGAGCCTGCGAAGTCCAAGATCAAGACACCAGCAGATTTGGTGTCTGGTGAGAGCCCGCTTCCTGACTTCTGGACAGTCATCTTCTTGCAGTGTCCTCACATGGCAGAAAGGGTAAAGGAGCTCTCTGGGGTCTCTTTTATAAGGGCACTAATCTCATTCATGAGGGCCTTGCTCTCATGACCCAATCACCTACCAAAGGCCCCGCCTCCTAATACCGTCACATTGGAGGTTAGGATTTTAACATACGAATTTAGGAGAGGACACAAACATTCAGTCTATAGCACCTGGCATCTATAATTGATCAAAGACAGAATCCACCATTATCTCTTGCCATGCTGTCTGTTGCCATTTATTATTTACGGAATTATTCTTCATTACAAACCTACAGACTCCTTCGATGTTATTGCCCTGACTCTTAACTTACTGTTAGCTGACATTGCTTATGCCTTCACCTCCCAGAGCATTATGATCTGGTTCAGAAGGACAGTTTAGCTCGCTTCCTTGCACGTGAACCATTGGCACTAACTCAGCTCATGTGTCAATAGATGGACTTTGCCTATTACTTTGTCATAGTTTAAAATTTGATATTTTTAAACATCTAGACAAATAAAATATAATTTTGATCAAAGAAAGTATTTTCCTCCAAGGTTTTAATCATGATTGGTTTAAAAAACAATGCTACTATTTACAATGTTTGGTACATGGAAGGCACTCAATAATTCTATGATAAATCAATGGACTTTTCAGGTCAGGAAATCAATATAAAAGGCCCAAGATATCAACTGTGGGTATGTTCTAAAAATGATAATGGTCAAAATATCAGACACATGAAAGCACATAGTGAGAAGGTGAGCTGGAGTGAAACTTTTGGGAACTCTGAATGCTAAGCTGAGACATTTGGATTTTATGGAGAGCCATTAAGATGTGTTTATAATCAGATATTTGCTTAAGAAAGATAATTCTGAAACTTTCCATTTCAGGATAATTTCCAGCCTTTCAAATGCCATTGAAATGACCAGTGTAATATAAAAATAGGAACAATTTTGTTTCAGGGACTGAAAAAGAGAAGGTATAGGCGAGAGAAATTTCTACAAGACAACGTGCAAACAGGACCAGACTGGGGAAAAAATTGAGCAGCCTGCAATTCAATAAATGAAAAAGGAAAAATATGCTTAGGAAATAAGTACATGGGTCCATTATAGAACCCAAATCACCGCACTGTGGGTGGAAGCAGCAGAGCTGCAGGGCTGTCAGCAGGAGGCACCCCCCCCGCCCCCCGAACAGTGCCCATGAAGCCCACTCTTGTGAAGTGGAGCAGAAAGAGGGTGGATGCTAAGGACTTTAAGGAGAGGACTGATGTCTGTTGCAGGGTGAGTGTGGGGAGGCGGGGCACGGGCAGCGCCAAGGAACTAACCTTGAGAAGCAACCAACTGGCACATCAGTGAAATTCTCTGAGATGCTTTCTCCCCACCTCAGACAGGCTATTTATACTCTAAATCCTGCAAAATCACCACAGAAAATATAAACGTTTACCCTTTCTTCCATGGGACCAAAAGATTTCCCAAGGACCCAGATAATCTCCCACACGGCTCATCTCAAATCCCAATGCTGGACCAATATAGACACTCTCTGTTAGGATGAACAAGCAGAAAAGTTAACGAATTTGAAAAAGTTTACTGACAAATACACACACACACACACACACACACACAGAAAGACTTGAATAAATAAAGCAATACTATGATGTTTCTGAATAGGAAGACTCAATATGACAAAGATGACAATTTGCCCCAAATAAATGTCTAACGTTCACGCAATCACAACCAAAATCCTAAAGGGACTGTATAGAGCATTTCACCAGAATTTCCTCTACTTATCTCGAAGCCCAGAACTCTTTCCTCAGGAAAGGAATTATGAGCAAGTGCTACATGTCTTCCTTTGATCTGGTTCCATATATACTATCTGAGAGAAATTCCTTGAAATTTGTGTCATGTAGATGGAATTTTTCTTCATATCCCAGTACTAATGTAAGTTATTTTATCAATTGCTATGTAACACACAACCCAAAACTTATTAACTTAAAACAATACTCATTTACTTGCTTGTGATTTTGCAGTTTGGGCAGAACTCAATGGGGCAGCTCATCTCTGCTCCACGCGGCTCTAGTGAGGTTGGTTTGACTGAGGCTGAGGGATCCATTTCCAAGATGGCCCCAGGTTGATGCTGGCTGTCACATGGGAGCTCAGCAGGACCTATTTGCTGGAGGCCTTTATTCTTTGCCACATGGGCCTTTCCACTTGACTGCTTAAGTTTCCTCACAGCGTGACTCCTGGGTTTCAGAGGGAGGAAGCAGAAGGCTTATTAATGCCTGAGCTGAGAGATCCTAGAATGTTACTTCTCTGCATTCAA